GGCAATCTTCGTGTGCATACACGTCTTAAAGGACTGTGCAGAAGAACCTGGGATTCTACTTACTGTCTGGCAGCTTAGGGTTCTGGGATGAAGCAAAAAAAATGTTGTTGTTGTGTGGTTTTGAGTCATATCAGACCCATAGCTGACCCTCCAGTAGACTGTCAGAGGCAGGAAATTACATGGGAGCAGACTGCCCAACCCTTTCCTGAAGAGCAGTTGGTAGATTTGAAATACATGCCTTTTGGATTGCAGAATGGTTTCCTACTACTGTATCACCAGAGCCCCTTGTTCCCATGCTTCAAGAAGGAAGCAGAGTGCCTGATACGGAATCTGCAAACCCCAGTCTGTGGAGTTAAGTGGAGGTGTAAAATACAATGTCCTCTAATTTGCAGGGACCAATAATAAGATGTGGCTAGAAGCCCTCACATCTCCATCACGGAGAAGTCTAACGACAGAGAAAGAGAGGTAGAAAGCAGATGCTTCAACATTCATAGTTATATGTGAGGTTTATTTCATTTAGGAGAGAGAAATGTAAATGATCCAAATAGGGTCTTAATTCTATTAAGTAATGAGGCTCAGATATGAGAGCTAGGCTATTTATTTCATCTCACAAAGGCATCTTTAAATTATCTACCTCATCCTTTACCCTAGGGATTCTGGGCTTCCACGATGCTAACACAGCAGGTAGTGGGTTTAGAAGACCCATGGTACCAGGGATATCATTGCAGATGTTAGGTGGATCTTGGTTGAAAGCAGAGAATACCTGCTTGAAGAATCTCTATTTGTGTTTTATTAACTATGCAAAAGCATAGCTTGATGGTGTAGATCATAACAAACTATCATTATATTGAAAAGAATGAGAATTCCCAGAACACTTATCTGTGCTTATACTAAACCTATACTTAGACCAAGAAACTGTTGTTTGAACAGATGAAGGGAGGACTGCATGGTTTAACATCAAGAAAGGTGTGCATCAGGTCTGTATCTTCTCTCCATACCTTTTCAATCTATGCTGAGTAAATCATTCGAGAAGCTGGACTTTTTGAAGAAGGATGTAGTATCAGGATTGGAGGAAGATTCATCAACAACCTTTGTTATGCAGAAGACACAACCTTGCTTGGCTGAAAATGAGGACATGAAGCACTAGTTGCATATCAAAGACCACATAAAGCCTGCAATATGGATCACTATCTCAACATCAAGAAAACAAAGATCCTCAAGACTAGGCCAAAAGGCAGTATCATGGAAGATGGAGAAAAGAGTGCAGTTGTCAATGATTTCAACTTGCTTGGATCCACAATCAACACCATGAGTATCAGAAGTAAAAAAAATTAAAAGAAATATTGCAGTGGGAAAGTCTGCTGTACGGGACCTTCCCAAAGTTTTGAAGAGCAATGCTGCCATATTAAAGACTAAGGTGTGCCTGATCCAAGCCATGGTCTTTTCAATCACCTGCTATGCATCTGAGAGCTGGACAATGAAAAAGGATGACAGAAGAAGGATCGATGTCTTTAAGTTATAGTGTTGGAGAAGATTATGAAGTGTCTCATTAACTGTCAAAAGAACAAATAGGTATATCTCAGAGAAAGTTTAGTTAGAGTGCTCCTTGGTGGTTAAGGATGGTGAAACTTCATCTTAGATACTTTGGCTATATTGTTAGGGGAAGCTAGTCCTTGTAAAAAGGACATCATGCTTGGAAAAGTGGAGGGTCATCAAAGAAAGAAGAGGAACAATATTAGTGAAATGGACCGACATAGTGGTTGGTGCAATGGCTCAAGTGTGTTAGAGATGATGAGGATGACTTAGGCTAGGGCATGATTTAGATCTGTTGTTCATAGAGTCTTTAAGTCATACTTGAATTGTTGGCACTTAACAACAACAACAGTAGCCTATTTCTTTAATCAGTGAAAGACTTCAGTGAAATAAACATTTCTGGAACTCGGCTATAAGCTGTCAACAGTGGGCAAACAAGAATTATGGGAGGCAGAATGCTAAACACATCCAAGGTAATATGATGCCCCAATTCTTGAAACCTGTGATTATCATGAGAAATCACTTGGGTTCATACGAACCAAAATAGGCTTGCTCTAACTACATAAAACTTAAAAAGCAGAAGAAGAGGTCAGAAAAAGATGGCAGAATGGAAAGCAAGAGAGAACAGAAGTGTGAGAAGGGCTTCACAAGCCACTGTTGTTTTGAAGATGCAGTGGGTCATGTGGCAATCAATGCCCTAAGAAAGTGAGCAAAATGGTGCAACCCCTGTGGAAAGCAGTATGGCGCTTTCTCAAAAAGTTGCAAATAGAGATACCATTTGACCCAGCAATTCCACTACTGGGAATATACCCTGAAGAGACCATAGCTGACATCCAAGCAGATATATGCACACCCATGTTTATTGCAGCTTTGTTCACAATAGCAAGGAGTTGGAAACAACCTAAGTGCCCATCAACAAACGAATGGCTAGAGAAGCTGTGGTATATTCGCACAATGGAATACTATGCTGCATTAAAAAACAAGGAACTCATGCAATATTATTCAAAATGGTTGACTCTGGAGAACATTATGCTGAGTGAAATATCCCAGTCACAAAAGGACAAATATTACATGATGCCACTGTTGTAGAATGGGACTGTCCTTGGGGTTGGGGAGAGACTGAGTAAGATGGGTTCAATAATGTATACTGCACTGAAACAGAGGAGGGAGAGAACCGTCTAAAAGAGAGATGTAACTGGGTATTTCTGTCATCACAGGAGACTAGAGCGAGGGCTACATGGTGGAGGGGACCTGGGGGAGGGTTTGTAAAACAATGAAAGAATCTTTTCTTTTACTTTTCCATAATTTTTGGACTCATGTACTTATAACTTGTTAGTCAAATTTGTGTCTTCTAGGTTGCAACAACCCCATGATACATCTTCAAGGATATGTACATGTACAACCAAGCACAATCAATAAGAGTGCATCTAAATTCCAAAATCAATCTCCATAATGGTCTATGTGTTTCCTACTGCCAAAGGGGCCCTTTAGAGTAGTGAGAGAAGATCTTCACCCTGAAACCCACAGCGTCCCTTTTCAGCAGGAAGTAGCTAAGAGAATACACCATCCCCTTTTCCTTATGACTCAGGGTGAAGTCTCTCTCAGGGAGGAGTGATAGGGAATGGCAAAGGACACACTGACAAAGAAGATTAATCAGAACTGGCTTTGACAAGCACTGTGGCATTTGGACAAGAACAAACTGGGAGGAGGGTAGAGAGAATAGTGCAACAATGAATGAGTGGAAGCCCAAAATCTCTGTAAATGTTTATGAAAATTAATAAAATTATAGAAAAAAAAGAAAGTGTTCATCGAATAAAGAAGCCTGAGGAAAAAAAAAAAAAAAAGAAAGTGAGCAGTGCTGGCTACCAGCCAGTGAGGAAAACGAGAGCTCACTCCTACACCCACAAGGAACTGGCTTCTGCCAAGGACCTGAACACATTTCAAACGGACTTTGTTCCAGGGTCTCCTGACATCATCTTGTAGACAGAGCATGCCTGACTTCTGATCTCAACAAATGGGAACCATTCATCAAATCTGTGACCGACCACTAGAACTAACACATGCTTACAAAGGAAGTAAGACGTGTCTTGTTACTCAATATTCAAGATGGTTTTGTTTAGGTTGATAAGGAGAATATGGCAAAAAATTGCATGAAATGGTAGAAAAATGAATAAAGAGACAGTTCCCCCCCACCCCCCAAACAATAAAAAGCACTCATAGCAGTGATTTTACTCAGCCCAAGGGCCTTGGGAGTTTGAGGTACAGAGATCTGTGGGGATATAACTGCATTAACTTTGAGAGGTTTGACAGAGGTTGAAGGTGAGCAGTTTTGCACTGAGTTTGACTTGGTGTCACCTGGACACACAGAAAAGCCCTCCAGGAGGACAGAGTGACCTTGCATCTAAACAGAGATATGGACTCTGCACACCTAAATGCTAACATTAAACAATTTTTTTGTTTGTATTAAACAGACCTCCTTCTTGAAAATACCAAATTCCTGGAGAGACTGTATATGTTACACACTTGGTGATGGATGTGCCGTAACTATTTTGCTCTTCTCTGAAATATCAGGAGAATATGCAGAGTCTAGTAAATAGCAGCACCCTTTAGATTTGCTCTACGCATTCCCTGAGGGGTGAGGTGGGTGCCAGGCAGCATGGAGGGCAAGCATAGCAGTCAGAAGAAGAAGTAAACCATTCTGGTGGTTGAGGTTCCCAAAGTTTGATAGTCATAACCCTTTCCCCTTTCAGGGTACCAAAGAGACTTCACTTGGGCAGCTCCATCTCTTCGTATTGCAAATGGTTATAACATTCAGATGCTAACTAAGATTTGAAGATATGAGTCCACCCGAAGAAGCTCAGAAGAAAACGCTGGCAATCAATTCCAAAGAATCTGTCATGGGAAACCCTATGAGGCACAGTTCCACTCTGACACACACATGTTACCATAAGCTGGAGTCAATTTGATGGCATCCCGTGGTCCATGGTTTCATTTACATCCTCCGACCAGGAGGCCGTGGGGAAGAAAAGGGTAAGGAGCGGAGGGGAGGCAGACTGGGACACTCAGTAGTTTTGCTCAGGATGGGCTTGCTAGTTTAGCTCCCAGGGCCAAGTGAAATGGCTGAACCTTCCGTCCCCTGAGCATCACACTGCCTTGCTGACATGGGTTCCTCCTTACCCCCAAGACCTTCCACAGAACACTTAAGAGAGGACTTTCTGTCACAGAAAGTGAACACATTACACAGTTAGTTAAAAAGCATCTAAATTTCAACACTGATTGTATTCCATCATTTGGTCATCTTTGCAAAACTTCTGAGGCCTGACCACTACAGAAGCTACATACAAACATCTTTATGCTTTTTTTGCATGGAGCTATTTCTTTGCATGTTCAATTAAGGCAAAAACAATCATCTAAGTCAAAGGCTTCAAAAGAACTCCCAACCTCCGCCCAGATGTAGGACCTCTTACAGGGCAAGTCGAATGGTGTGTACGGCCCTTCATCATCCTCCTCATCCTCCTCTTCTTCCTCATCATTCTCGTTGTTCTCATTGTCCTCATTCTCATTCTCTGTCTCGTGGCCAGCCTCAGCAATGACATCATCCCTGTGGCTTCCGTTCACACTCCTGTCTGGGGCACTATTGGGCCCCATCCCATTCTCCACAGTGTGCTTGATGGGGATTTTGATGGCCACTTCAGATTCTCCATTGGCATAAGCCCTGCTGTTTATCAGTCTTTGTCTCTGGAAAGAGAAAGGCATGCTTTTACCCTTGATCAAAAGAATCTCAAAGATCTTAAGTTCAAAACACAAGATCTTGAGATCTTTGCCAGACAGTTGACAATGAGATGCTCCCAGAAGTAATAAACCCATTCAGAAAACCCACTGGACTTTGAAGATCTCTTTAGAGGAAAATGACTGGGATGCACACTTGCTTTCTATTTGGATTCTGATTTCCTGTGAACTATGCTGGTATTTTTCTTCTTTAGATCACAGGAGTCCTTGGTCTATACATAAGAAAGCCACACAAAATATTTTGCTTAGTCTATCATTAAGGCTGCCACTCTAGAAAAATAAATTTACAGAAAAATTCAGGTCAGACAGTATTCCTTAAACCAGTATTACCTGATCTTGGCAACTAATTCCTTGCACATTACAGTAAAGGGCTTTATTAAAACAGAAGATGAAAAGAAAACAGTACGTTTAGAGGTGACAGGTGAGTTTTTCCTATAAAACTAGGAACTAGACTGTACGTCTTAGAATATGGAGGGAATCTTGAGTAGATACACAGCTGGCTCAGAGAGGCTGTTGTGTGAAATTCCAAGTTAGCTGTCCCGACTTTCAAACAAGGGAAATTTCTGTCCTTCCTAAAGCTCACTCCCCGCCCCCCCGACTTGCTCCTGTCCAGAGGCAAATATCCACCACTCTACCACCAATGTTTCATATTGGTGCAGTGACAAATGGGCTATGCTTTCCCCAAATACCTCATTGATCAACATGCGGCTGGCCATGGAGAGCCGGGTCTTGGGTGGAAAGTGACTTGTGATCATGATTCGAAGGCCAGCCTCAGAGAAAGAGAGCTGGTGTGGGTACGCTGACAGCAGCTCATCCACCATGATCACCGATGCTTTGCGGTGGAAGTTGGCTGGGAATGAAAGACATGAAATGAAATAACATGGATCCCAGGAGCAAGGAAGAGGCATTAATTCAACTTTCATTTCCTCAGTCATTCCTCTGTCCCTGTTTCCCTCCCATCATCCATCCATCCATCCATCCATCCATCCATCCATCCATCCATCCATCCATGAAGAGCTGTAGTGAGCAAAATTTAAAGGGTTAGAAAGAAAAAGAAAAATCTTTCTATTGGGTTCACTGAAATCCCTATTGAAATAAGTTGAAATGGCCCATTGAAAAAGCCCATTTACTGACATGCAAAGAGTGGATGACAACTCACTATCTGCAAAGGATTCTTTCTCCACTATTCGTACCCGAGGCACTGAAAAGACATTCCTAACCTGTTCACCGTTAGAAGCCATTTACACTCTTCAAATATCAGTAATTTTCATACTCAGATAGTAACTGTTACAGAATTGATTTTAGTATGGCTTGGAGGGCTTGTCAGGAAGGGTAACCATTCTCTAACTTATCCGCAAGACTGACAAAGGGAGAGTGTCAAGTGATCCACATTACAAAGACTGGGGACCAGAAGACATGGGTTGAATCCCGTGAAGCAATTTGCCACAAAGACTGAAAAAAAAGTTTCTGCAAGACTCAAGTCCTTTTTTTGTGAATGAGCAGCATTTGCACACTATGTCTGGTGTTTCCTAACACTGGAACATAGTCTCTAAGCCATTAAAATGTGCAACAGTCTCTGTGAACACTGAATAATATGATGAAGCTCCTTCCTGTTTCCTAACCACACTATTTTTATGCTTATCAACTATGCAGAAGAGAATAAATTAGATGGAATTTTCACGTGAAATGGCACTAAATACTCTTAAGGTTGGTTTGATTGCTTGTTTTAAAACATGTAGGTATATAATTATTCAGAGAAATGCATCAAATATTCCCTTTAAAATATCTAAAAAAGGCATGTGGTTCAAAGCCATCAGCTGCCTCACAGGAGAATGCAAGGTAATCCCTCCCGTGTGGTTAACTGTCTTGGAAAGGCTGCTGGAGGCTCGGCTAAGAGGCGGTTCCCACTCGACGATAACAAAAACAATTATCCAGAAATTTCAAAGTGAAAGAAATATTGGAAAATGCATATCCATTTTCCAATTTGTTTTTGGTTTTTCCTTTAAACAAATATAGAACAAAAAAGAAATGAATCCACATATTTCAAGAGGGAAACTGAAAATTAAATGAAAACTGGAATACATTCTTGGCAAAATTAACTGATAATTTTCTCTGCTTTAAATAACATATTAAGTATAAAAACTGCTTTGATAAAAAGGGTAATTCTCAATTACTGAGGTAGTTTAGTCTGGAGGTGAATTTTTATTTGTACACTAATTTCATTATTTTAATAAAACTCTTTTATACACATTATATCCTTTAATCATCACAATAATTCTATGAATGATCCCCATTTTGTGAACTGAGTCTCAGAGACACTAAATAACTTTGTTCGTGGCCACACGGTGTAACTAGTATCTTAACGTCCATGTTTCCTTTCCTTTACTAGGCTGTCCTGGCTTCTCTGTATCATCTTTAGCAAAGGCGCTGTGCAAGAACTTCATGGGCTTTCTGAGTTGACTCGTCATCACATATGAGACTGGCTCATTATGTAACTAGGGGCGGGCGGAGCAGTGCACTCACTCTCAGGGTGGACAGCAGCTGCTCAGGTCAGCTGCCATGCCCTGCGGGTGGCTGCCAGAGTGGACAGAGGGACGCACATGCCAGCACGGCCTCGAGCCCACAGGCAGCTCTCGTCTTGGTTACCTTTCTTTAGTAGCACCACAGTTGCATCACAATTGCTGCTGTCATCAATTTCAGCATTGCTGGCCAACCCATTGACCATGTTCCCAGCACCTTTCGTCCTCCTTTCGAAGCACTGATGTATGCAAGCATTATACCTAAACAAAGCGACATGTGGAAAAGAGTCCATCAGGGGATTCTATTCTTCCATCATCAGCTCCTGCAGGGCGCACCCCCTAAAGCGCTCTCTGTCCATATGGGACTCCGTGGCTCAGGTTATTATTATCATGTCAATCCTTTTCCCTGAGAATATACTATCTGTCCCATTTAACAGTCTAAGGACATATGATCATAAAAAATAAAATTCAAATTATGTAAATATGTAATGACATACAGCATATTTTAATGAGTTTTTTTATAACTCTTCTTGAAAATAAAGTGCTAGAATATAAGTGCAAGAGAAGAAGGCCCTCAATGAGATGTGTTAGACAGAATGACTAGAACAATGGACTTAAACACAGCGGAGATTATGAGGCTGGCACAGGACGGGGTGGGGTTTTGTTCTTTGTACACAGGGTCACTATGAGATGGAGTGGACTCAACGGCACCTAACCACAGCAGTATAGAAGAAGATATTTTTAGGATACTTTTGGGAGATAATTGTCCTAGCCCTTTTATCTTCAGTATTAGCAGACCCTCAACCATATGGGTTAACATAGTGGATGGAACAAAATAACGACTATTGTGTGACAACAAAAGATTGGGCAATGTCTCGTTGCATCACACACAGATCTGCTATGAGCTGGTGCTGACTTGCGCTGACTTGATGAGCTGGCTAGGCCATCAATACCACACAGGTGCAAGAAAATGTATGGTATGCAATTTTAAATTAAATTTTATAAAAGCCATTGCATAGGTGGGACAAGATTGTCTATGGACTGATGGTTGTTGTGACTGTTGATGGATGCATGAAATATATTATTCTGACATATTGTGGGATCAGATCTAACCTGGAATGAATCAATTACTGAGGGATTGAGCACAGAGTACAAAATTGTATATAACAAAAAGTTACAAGAAAGAAGTCATAGGGAATAAAGGGAGATGATGCTGGCCTGGCTCTGGATGGGCTTCTTGGGTTCAGTCAGCAAGACATTCTGCCTCACATCCTTTTGTGACTCCCTTCTCCCTTCTTGTCCTCATCAATCATAGCTGCTTCAGACAGGCAAGATGATGAGGTATGTGCAGTGAATAAGACTACAGTCACAACCATACAGGATTGACAGATGCACACCTATATATAACACATGTACATATATGTTCTAGAAATAGATATATGCATATGGTAGAGAGAAAAGGCATTTCCTCTTCCACATGAACGGATGTTTGAAAATGTCTCAGCCGTAACCAAACTGCCTGAGGGAATCAGTCACTGGGTGTGGGAATACAGGACCATAGTCACAGGGGGCATTAAGATGAGTTGCCATAACAGAGTCCACAAAGACAATGTTCTACTGTTAACCTTGGTGAGTAGTGATTAGGGTCTCAAAGGTTTTCAAGTGGCCTTCTATGGTGTAACTGGAGGTCTTTCCACATCCAGAGAAAAGCAGAGTGGTGAAAAGAGAGGTCTACTCATCTAGACACTAATGGACCATGGGAACTTCAATCTCCACCCATCCAAGACTAGAACTAGCCAGGTTACTACTGAAAGGGATCTTAATGGAAGGTCCCAGACAGGATGGAAGAAAAATGTGGCACCCCCCCCCAAATCATAAAATGAGGCTTTCTTACTGGTCTGATAGACTGGAGGAACCCCTGAGACCATGACCTTAGACATCCCTCAAGCCTAGAACTGAAATCCCCTCTGTGGCTCCGCTTTCAGCCAACAATAGACAGGGGTATATGAAGATACCAGAGAGGTGTGCACACCTTCAGAGAATCAACTAAACATGCTCAAAATGGCAGCATTTGTCCAAGATTAAACATCAGAAGTCAGGAAGGAATAGGAAAGAAAGACAAGTGGAAATGGTAGAAAAAAGGATGAAGTGAGAAGAGTGCTGTGACAATGTGGAAATTGAAATCAATGTAGCAGACAGGAAGGGCCAAGTCCACGGCAGCTGAAAACAGTGTGCTGTACACCTATTAGGATCTGTATAACAGGATATTACCACAGTACCTTTTCTACAACCAGGTGCTAGGATTATTGGTAATCTAAATATGCTGTGTGCTTTTATCTTCACAGAATCTCTTTGAAGTAAGATCTATTATGAAACTTGCTTTGTAAAAGTGGAAATAGGGATTCCAAACGTATGAATAAATTGGCCAAGATCCATTGCCTAGTTAGATGATGAGGGGATTTGTGTCTAGGGCAGAAGGAAAATAACTTGTTCTCCATTTTCAGACCATGTGGACCAATCTCTGGATGAACTCAAAGAAACACTCAGGATGTCCACAATATTTACAATGTTGTGGATGTCTTGTGTACCCTTAAGGTTTCTACCTGTCTGGCCAAACTGATCTTGCCTTTTTTTTTTTTTAACCCTCAGAAAGATATGTAAAGACATTTTGAAGATATTTACCCAGGAAGAAACCAGCTGACTTTTCTATTATATGCTGTTTTTAACGGCTGCTGCTGTTTTATATTTTTAATTGAATGTTTTAAATTGTGTGTCTATACTCTGAAGTTATTTTATTGTAAAGCATGCAATTTTATAAATCAGATTTTGCAAAACCCAATGAATAAAGCCTCTGATTACAGAGGGGGGATGGCTCAAGAGCGGAAATTTCAATTTAGAATTTAGGCCTACAATTTATTCAGAAAGTTCCATGAGCACATAGCTTCTATTTCCTACTTTATTTGTATCCTGCTGATCTGAACAGCTGGAAACTTAGTAAAGCAGAGGCATCAGCAGAAACACACCTCATTAGCTTCCACACAGAATATGGTATGAAACAGAGGGGAAGGACTGTGTGTGGTATTATTTTAATGCTTGCATGATGCCTAGCCAATAACTTAAAGGTTTTACCAAGATGCATTTCAGGGGTTTAATAGCCATAGAATCAGACTAGAAAATTTTTTCAATCTTTTTTTCCCCTTTAGATCAAATCTGGTTTTGGAGAGGGATTTTTATTCTTGGAAGTGACTTGCAAAGAAATGAGAAGTCAATTAAAAGTATTCTTTCATCAAAATTCAAATTCAAGACCAAGATAAATGTTAGGCATGTATTTGGCACTCAATGAGTAATTTGGAGTAATTAACTTTTTTTAAATGTTAAGAAGAGAAGTAGCTAAGAGAATACGCCATCCCCTTTTCCTTATGACTCAGGGTGAAGTCTCTCTCAGGGAGGAGTGATAGGGAATGGCAAAGGACACACTGACAAAGAAGATTAATCAGAACTGGCTTTGACAAGCACTGTGGCATTTGGACAAGAACAAACTGGGAGGAGGGTGGAGAGAATAGTGCAACAATGAATGAATGGAAACCCAAAATCTCTGTAAATGTTTATGAAAATTAATAAAATATAATAAAAAAATAAAGACTAAAGTGCATGCAAAAAAAAAAAAAAAAAGAGAACTCTTAATGCTCAAATTCAGAGCTTTAAGATGTCACAGGAGCAGCAACAACGCCAAAACACTGACAGAGAGCATCATGCTTCTCAAGGCCTTCCCCCTTGCTGAACTCACTCTGTAGTTTTGCTGTTAGACACAAAGAGGATGGCTGTACTCATCAAAAAAAGCAAAGTATTTTCCTTGAAGTCTAGAAATTTTGGGGGACTTCTGGGCCAACTCTGGTTTTCTTGGGAGCCCATGTATTGCAATTTCAAAAAGGGAAGTGATTAGATTATGAAAGTACCTGGTTTATTAATAATTTACCTTCCAGGCAGTACTCTGTACCACAAAGATGTTTAAATAAGGCCCAACTCTGGAAATGCCCTCCTCAAATGATACCCAGGCCCAGCGTGCATGTTGACCAGCAGACAGCTCTTCCAGCCAATGCTGAGTGCTGCATGGAGCAGGCTGGCAGCAGATGGTTAACAGCTCTCCTAAAACCTCAGCCAAGGCAGTGAATACCTTTACCTTTCATATGACTTTTGCCAATGACCATTTATATTCTCCTCATGCCTCTCAATTACAGGTGACCAGACCTAATATTTCAGACTTCAGCAGCGAAGCAACCTTGATATGTCAACTCCAGCCTGCAACCCAATACACTCACATGGACAATTTCTGACCCCTAGAGAAAGCCTTGTACACACATATACTAGAGACGACTATGGATTAATATGTAGGAGAAGAAAGAGCTCCCATGGGATTAGCAACCACACACTCATACTACCACCTCTGCTTTATTTATCGAAAAGATGAAGCAGTAGCTTCACAGAGCTTACACATCTTTCCACAACAAATAATTTGCTACCCAGATTCCAGGAGCAAAAAATTATTTGAAACCACAGATAATTTGAATCACCAAATTATTTTAAACTACTTGTGTAAAACCATCTCACATACTTTGGGCAAGTTGTCAGGAAGTCCAAATCTTTAGAAGAAAACAACATGCTGGGAAAGGTAGAGGGTCAGAGAAAAAGAAGATCCTCAACAAGAATCTGACACAGTCCGTGACTGCAACAATGAGGGTGAGCACGGAGATCGTGAGGGCGGCACAGCGCAGGGCGAGGCTCCAAGATGCTGTTCAGATGCTATGAGTCACAGATGTCCACAGCACCTAGCTACACTAACAACAAACTGCAGCAGACCACTGTTGTAACATAGAAGGATCACTAGTGAGATGCTTATAAATGTCCAAAAGAGGAAGGAAAAAGGGTGTAGGGGGAGGTAAAAGGGGAGAGTGAAAATCACTAGGAGAGCAGAGTTAAGTGGGCGGATGAGGGGGATGAAGGAATGGGAAAAATTCAATGGAGACTCAAAAAGACAGAGTAATAACAGGCACAGATTAACAGTAATTAATCCTAGAAAATCCAATGTATATGAATGATTGTATGAAACACAATATAAATGAATGACTGTATAAAACACAATATACATGAACGAAACACAATGTGTATGGCTTATTGTACACAAACCACCACCACCAACAAAATAAAAAAGGTAAAGCTTAGTTCTCAATCCCTTGAATGTGGACTGCTATAGTGACTTTCTTCTAGTGAACAGCATATGACAGAAGTGATGGTTTGTGACATCTTAGAAGAACTGACAAAAGGCAATGTGTGTTCTTGAACAACTTGGTCTAGAGGGTACCAGCTGCCATTTTGGGAGGCTACTCAGTAAACCCACAAAGAGAAGCCCACAAAGTAAGGAACTGAACACTCTCATCAAAAGTTAGGACCACCTAACCAGCCATTAATACATCATCTTGGAAGTGGTTCTCTAGCTCCAGTCAAAAGGATAACTGCTACCCTGGCCAATGTCTTTCCTGTCCACCTCAAGAGATTCTGAGTTGGAACTACCCAGCTACACCACTCCTGGATGCCTGACTTTCAGAAACTGTGAGATAATAATGCTAGTGTTTTACGTCTCTAAATTTAGGGTAACTGCTGTGCCATAAAGTAACAGAAGTCCACCAATACATGGCCTATGGCTTTAGTCACCCTTTAACACCTAACTCTATATGGACACATGTGACCTTCTTTCTTGTTGTGAATAAATTGAGAATTGGCTAAAATGTAGATTGCCAAATCATGAAGAGGGTGCAAGGGTTTGAGCAGATTCTTAAATGAAGAATCATTTACACTTTGATTCTATCATCACATATGGGTTGGAAGCGTTGTTGCTAGTGACACTACCCAAATTACAATGATTTATAACAGATTGCTCAGGGAACTAAGTAAGCATGTGATGTGCAGTGAAAACCAAACAGACCCTCCTCCCCTGCCCTTGTGCCCCTTTCACATCATCACATAAGACTGGAGACAGGAAAAGAAAGTAAGAAAGTATTCTACTTACTTCATGATGACAATGTAAATAAGATACATCAGGACAAGGACTAAAGACTCCCACCTGCGTACAAACCAAGAACAGTCAGTTCAGGAGAGTCACCTTTAGCAGGTATGAAAGACACTGAGATACTCTTTAAAGACACATTTGATATGAACAGCAGTTAAAGGTGGCAAGGATGAGGCTTGCAGATTAGTTTTGAATATTTTCTAGGCTATAGATTTTATTTTGTGCTGCATAGCATTTCAGTGGTTTACCTCTTCGTTCCCCACTAAAAGAAAAATATCTCTTTACCTCTTTTATTTACTCATCTTAATCCACAGTGAGTATTTTGTATATATTGATTCATATAGGCCTGTGTTTATAAACTTTCCCACCTTTGTTTAATTATTCACTGAAATTGGATGTGCTTACAAAGGATAAACTTAGAGGAACTGACAGAGGCAACAGAAGGATTGTTGGATAAACAGAAGTCATACATAAAGAACTGCACTGAAACGGAGGAGGGAGAAAAACTGTTTAAAAGAGATATATAACTAGGTATTTCTGTCATCACAGGAGACTAGAGCGAGGGCTACATGGTGGAGGGGACCTGGGGGAGGGTTTGTAAA